TTCAAAATGAAAACAAATAAAAGATGAAAACTCAAAATAAAGAATATTAATCAGAATACATATGACATTATACAGCAAAAAAAAGAAGAAAAAACTAATCAAAAGTCAGGATAAATGAGTTTTCAAGTGGTTCTTAAAAGTCTCAACTGAATGAAGACATTGCAAAGATGAAGGCAAACCAATCCACAATCTAAGGGCCACAACTCTAAAAGATTTATCACCTCTGGTCTTAAGATGTCATTGAGGAATCAACAACAACTCTTCAGACTGGAAGATCTCAGACTGTGAGAAGAGATTGCAGATTTATTCAGGGTGTAAGAAAAAGCTAAGCCTTCAGCAGGAAGACTACATCAAATGCAAAAAAGATTGTGTTATAAATTAGAATTTTGAGGTTTTAATTCCTGCTGAGAAACATGCTAGATTTGGACTGTTTTTTTTTAAATACTTCAGAGTTTAGTAGGGGAAAAACAGGGAAGACTGCCATTTTAGTAATGCTGTTGATTCCAATCGCTAATGTGAAATGGTGAAAGTTAAAATGTCAGTCGCATGGTCATGCTGTCTTTGTTCTAAGTTAATCATTTTGTTGCTGTTCTTATATTTTCTAATACTATTTTTAAATAGAGAAGATCAAAACAGCTATAATCAGTCAGACATAATGAAAACAGGAGGCCAAAAACAGCCACATAGTTTTGATTCCTGCAACCCAATTGAAAAAAAAAAAAATCCCAATTCTTAATTTAGTTCAGATTTCTGGGTGTTTTTCACTTTTACAAATTCTTTTATACTCATCAATAACATCAACACCCATGTTTCAAATCCCTTTGCTCTTATGGGGTGCGGCTGTTTTAAACTGAATGGTTTCCTGAGCATCCTGAGTGAATATTTGATTATTAACTTTTGGGTTTTTAAAACAATGTGAGGGCCTTTAACTCTCACTTGTGTTTGTAAATCTGATCCTGAGTTTTTCTTGTCCGGTGGGCGGATCTGTTTTCTCCATCTTGAAGGTGGGACTTTTGTGCCAAATTAACACCCACATGACAACCTGGACGCCACTGCATGTATTTCTTAGCATGTGATAATTGACCTCAAATTTTATCCAGCATCTGGTTTTAGTACAGATTTTATTAAAGTAAAATGGAAATTCAGACACAAAGAGAAGCACTTAATCTAAACAGGATATGGTCACACTTAAGATGCGTATAAGGTCTTATAAATCTATGGATATAGTCAAAGCTTCAAATTTGAAAAGGAATCAAACCTCATAAAGGAGTTTTCCTGTCTTTAATGCCAAAATGGTTTAAGTGTTGTTAAATGCCAATAAAATTTTTCCTGTGAGTGATTCATGAATTGGCCAGTTTTTCATTGATCAACTCCAGTCAGTAAACAATCTGATTAAAAAAAAACTGATCAATGCATCTCTCCTAGACATCACATGTTTTATTTATAATTTAAAAAACACAACTTCACTTGTACTGCATGACTTTACCGTCATCCTGAACACATACAAGATGGTAAAGCCACAGAAAAGCCATGCTACATGCTTAGTTATTCTGCCCAGCCTCATGAAATGTGCATGAAAGCTTCCTCTGTGTGCCCTGCACACGGTGTGCACCAGAGGATGAGAGGGAAACGGGCTATTTTGGGGGAAGTGTTGCAGCGCCTGCACTGCTGCTTGGGTGCATTTTGTGAGCTCGAGTGATTGGTAAAATTCTGAGCGGAGCTTGCAAACAGCGGTTTATGCCCGAGTGAACAAATATGTCTACAAATTAATGAAGAAATGGGAGGGGGAAAGGAGAAGTTGTCAAATGTGGCTTACTTCATCACAAAGCACTTCCGTCTGCTGAGAAAAGGGACATCTTTCTCAGTCCGTGTGACTTTTCAGCAAAGGTTGGGGGCAGGAAACCACAGAGAAGTGCACAGCTAAACAAACCATAAATAGACGGCAGGACCTGCGCTGGTTTTCATCTCTTCTTTTTTTTTTCTCTCCGTCTCTCTTCGTCACTATGTAGGTTACCTCCTCTGCTCGGTGCGTTTCTCTTTTCTTTTTTTTCCACACAATGAATCATCACTGTCGACAGCCGAGCACAGAATGGGAATCGTGCCATTCGCTATCCGGCAGTTATTGTTTTGGTCATGTCGAAAATGTTCATCTGAACGTTGGTTATTTTTTTCACTTGCCCACTCAGAGTATGACACAAACCCTCCGCACAGATTGTGACCTCTTCCCACGCATGTCAGAAACACAACCGGAGCAGTTTGTATGAGATGGCTGGGTGTTGTCAACAAACAGGAAGAAATGCAAGTGCATAACCACAACTATGTCACAATTACCTGCCCTTTCAACACAGTGTGGAAAAATACACCAACTGCATCTTCACAGACCTTGCTTATTAGAATAATAAGAAAAAAGGTAAATGTCTGTGTTCGTAATCATGTTTTAGTTCCTGAAATTTCTCAGTAGAGACAAGCAAGAACAATAAATGGACATGTGAATTACACTTTTAAATACAAAATAATGAATAAAATTCAATCTCTTTCTTTGTGGTCAAAGAAATGAGAGGTAAAGAGAAACAAAAAAAAATGGCTTCTTATATTTATATGCCCTGGGACTGTTTCTTCTCAACATATCGAAGCTGCTGTTCCATGTACTAATTCAACACAAGCAGATGAAATGGAGCATATTGTAAACCCATATCTAACATTTTCTTTAGTAGTCTAGCGCTCATTCTACACTTCGACAAACAACAACACTGCTGATTTTTCAAATGACTATAATATAATATTACAATCTACCAATTTGTTCTTAACCCCCCCAAAAAAGAAAAAAAAAAATTCTAGTTAATGACTCGTTCAATAAAATATATACGGTTTTTCATCATGGGTTTCTAAAGGATCAAAACATTAATAGACCAAAATGTTTTCAAGAGTAAGAAAATCTCTGAAATCCAATTTATTTAAAAGTTTATTAAACCCAAACTGAGAAATGTAGTGTATATATAGCAGAAGAATTTAAAGATTTTGTTTTCTGGTTAATTTGTGAGGTTGTATGCTGAGGTAGCCAGTTCTTTAATGGATATGTGACAAACTTTGTCTGTCTTGTGCAAGAAACTCCTTTCAGGCAGAAGGTGAAGCACTGCTTTATAATTCACCCTAGAAAGTCAGATTAAATAGCTAAATTATCTATTTTTTATTTTCATAAAACTTGGTATGCCTTGCTTAGGAGAGTCATTAGACATTTCATCGTAGGAAAATGTGTTTTGTTTTCACTCTACTTGTTTCCGTTTTGTTGACAGAACAAGGAAATACACAAAGTAATTACCCTTTAAAGCTGCTTCAGCTCATCCCTGGGCAGTTTGTGATTGTAATCTTCAGACTTGGCAGCAAATTAATGTTATGCGCTTTGTCAATAGAAAGGCACGCTCCCTGTGACGCGCCTCCCAGATTGAGCTACATGGTTATTATCTCTCATATTTGAAGAGGCAAAGCTGAGCAGAGGCCAAGATGGAACAGGAAATGGGACAAAAGCTTTTCCCCTAGTTAATTAAATGTTGCTGGACACCTACAGCATGAGGCGATAAAACAAAGAAGTTCAGTCAAACAGGAAATTTGATGCATCTACAGTTGCTTGTAAAATCATATTCACATTTTGACATGTCATGTTTAGCTCATGTGGATTTCATGAGCTAAACCAACACAAAATTGGACATAATTTTAAAGTAGAAGGAAGATAAGAAAAAAACAAGACGTCCAGTGATGTCTGCCCCTGTCATGCATAGTTCTTATTGAAAGATTCTGTACTTTTTCAAACGAAACTTTCTAGACTTGAGCCTTGATTACAAATTATTCATCTTGAATATGCCTGAAAACTTTCAGGTCTGATTATTAGTGTGATGTATCTTTTGTGGAGTGTGGAACAGCGTTGTCTTCAGTGTTGTTTTGTGGCTTCTGGACTAACTTTGTTATGGTGAGTGGTTGTTGGAGGTGGTGAGAGAGACGCCGGGAATCCCAGGTAGTCATGATAAGAGATAATTTAATGATGAACCAGGAGGGACAACAGAAAATCACAGGCAGCACAGGAACAGACACAGACGTGAGACACGACGAGACACGACGACGATCCGACAAAGAACACTGACAACAGGTGGGACTAAATACACTGGGAGGGTAATCACAGGAACGACACACAGCTGGGATCAATCGAGACAGACTCAGGGGAAAAACAGGACTAGACAGACAGAAACTACACAGATCCTAACAAACTTAGGTAACGATACTTCAAAATCTATAAATCTTGGAGCTATCAAGCCAAGAATAGAGATTCCCAAGCGTAATACAGATTATTAAAAACAAAATATTTCCTTTTTTAAAGCATTTATTTTTATTTTTTTTTTACTTTTTGCAAAAAAATAATTGAAATCACTCATGTGTTTTATTGGCTGCGCAGGAGAAGATGAAATTGAATTTTAAGGGGTTTTTTTTAGGAACTGTATTGACCCTATTTTGGTTTCTAAACAGGGTACAATGTGGGTACAACATCAAGAAGCAGGTGTGAGTTGTAAAATCAAAAATAAACCATATTAAACTACTATAAACCATTCCAAAATCATCATGATTTTTAATAATTATGAAACTTTCATCTTCAAGAATTGAAATTTAAAAAAAGAAGGAAATGTTTGTAAAATCAAACACTTTTCTATACATTTTTTGTGTTTTTTTTTGTGCTGTTAAAACTTGGAACATTTTATGGTGGTTTCTGAAAGTTATTGATTGAACAAAATTTTATTTAGAGGAATCATGGGAAAGGGAGCCGAATACCTATACATGCCACACTTTTTAGATTTTAGTTCTGTGATAAGTTAATTTATTATTTTTCTTCCTCTTCACAATTATGAACTGATTTATTGGTCATGCAAAATACAGTGATTTTTGGGATTGCAACATAACATCTTTCAAAAAGGTTTAAAGAACTTTATCAATAATGTTTTATATATTTTTTTTTAAGCTAGACCTAACACTTTGTCACTTTTCACTTTTCACAGATAAATGGACCAAAGGAATCTGTCACACTGAAAAAGGAAACAACACACCGTAGAGGCATCTGCAAAACTGTTATTTTCCCTTCTGCGTAGTCATGACGACTGTCTGAGAGTTTAAATACAAAGACGTTCGTCAATCCCACCTCTGAAAAATTCAAAGAGCCATTCCAACACATCTCTGGAGCATTATACAACACCTCCACAAAAGACGTCCTTCCTACTGCTATCAAGAAGCCAAGAAAGGGGGTCAAACAAGCTCTTCTGATCAGACTGGACCAACAGCAGAGAGACAAACAGAAAGACCTTCTTTCGTTCTTTTTTTCAATCTTTCTTACACACTCAAGTCAACATCTGACGTAGCCAAAAACATAAAGCTCAATAGTTGTTTAAGTGAGGAAAAAATGTGTTTTCTTTTGCAAGTCACAGGATAAACTGCTAGGAAATACTTCTGGACCTTTATGAACTGCCTGTAGTCAACATACTGAGTGAATTTAAAAATTCTTACCCTGTGCTGTGTATGTATGTGTATTGACCATCTGGGTGCTGAAGTATTTACAATTCCTGTGTACTTTGTAGATATCAGAAAGAGCACAGGAACACCAACCTAAGTACTGTTAAAACACAAAAATCTGACTGCATATAGTCAATATTTATCAAGTTCTGTGAACTAGACTGTTAAATAATATACAATAATTATGGGTTTATTTATATTGTAATAGGTTTGCTGTTGCAGACTTTGAGGTACATGTTGTTGGCTGAGTTTTTCATTCATTGACACTCAGACTGACAGAAGCACCTTGAAGGGGAGATTTTTGAAGGGAACATGGAGGCATCCATCCGTCCCCATGTCCCGTCTAATGGCTGACTTCAAAGGAGGATATTAATCTTCTTCCCCTTGTACAAGAGCAAGGAGTGTCCAACGCTGATTAGAGCTACAGCCCGTCTATCTCAGAACTCCAAAGCCTTGCGAATGTCCTGCCTCAGGCGTCAGCCTCTGGCCATCCCCATGGACACGGTCAAGATCATCCAATCGGAGAAGTTTCCCAGAGAGTGCCCCGTTCCAGTCACCCAACCTCGGTATGCCCCAGCTCCAAGAGTGGCGTGGGATGGCGGTGGTGAGGGTGAAATCATCGTCAACCAGGCCTGCAGTGACCTGACACTGGACATAGCACCGTCTCCCAGGCCAATGGTGTCTCCTCCGGCCCCACTGATGCGCAGGGAACACAGCTTCCTGGCGCAGCGCAAAACCAGTGCCAATGAAATCTGCTACCACCAGTTCCACTACAAGATGGAGGACGTCATAGTCAACCAATACGTGCTCCGTTCCTCCTCCACTTCTTCCTCCACTTCCTCATCCTCATCTTCAGGCCCCGTCATGCCGTGCGAGCCCCTGGAATGCCCCACCTGTGGTCACACGTACAACTTTGCGGGGAAGCGTCCGCGGATCCTCTCCTGCCTGCATTCGGTGTGTGAGGAGTGCCTGCAGATCCTCTATGAATCATGTCCCAAGTACAAGTTCATCTCCTGCCCCACGTGTCGGCGCGAGACGGTGCTGTTCACTGACTATGGCCTCGCTGCTCTGGCCATCAACACCAGCATTCTGAGCCGCTTGCCCTCCGACCCCAACGGGCCCGTGCAGTGGGGCGGGGAGGCCGACCGCAGCTGCTACCAGACTGTGCGTCAATACTGCCAGTCAGCCTGCACCTGCCAGATTGCCAACCCGTTGTCCTCCTGTGGCATCATGTAGACAAGAGGGAGGAGGTGAGGACACTGCAGACAAGACTCGATGCTGCTCCCCACCAACACCACTCTTTTCATCTATAAGCTAAACCCTTTCTGCCAAGCCCCCTCTCTCACATGTACAGTAAATAAATCCCTTCATAGATGTTATCTCTCTATATTTAATAACACAGGTGGATACTGTGTGGGACTTATGGATGCTGGTGATCCAGTACGAAGTAAATAAATGTATTTTATGTATGGACTGGAAAACTATTCACTGTCTCATTTGGTTGGATGTGTTTGTCATGACATCTCTTTACATGGGAATGCCAGGGGAGGTATGTCCCCCCCCGCCAACCTAGGAGAATAAAGATTAAATAAATGAAAATAATATCTCAGAGTGGCCTTTGTTTTCAGTGCTCTGAACTGTATTAACTGCAGAAAACTGTAGAACAAAACTACGAAATATTTTTAGTAATGCACTTTTACGGGCTTTTAAAGGAAGTGTAAATCCATAAAGAGCCACTTAAATATGCTACTATAGTCCGTCTATCCTGAGATCTTTGTTTTTTTAGATACTTTTACTGAGATATGAGCTCTAGGATGGAAACCCTACCATGCCGCACCACCTGTATAATTTTCCAACTCCTTCAAAGGTAACCCAAGCCATTCATAGGACGGAAGGCCAATTTCCTCCCAGCGAGTTTTGGGTTTTCCTCTGGTTTTGTTTCCAATGAAAGACGCCCGGAAAATCTACAAAGGGACTTTAGAGGCTTCCTTGTCAGATGTCTGAATAATTGCACTTAATGCCAGGATTGGTGTTACATAATCTCAATCTACATTTTCCTAAATTATTTCTAATCAAAGTCAAATGGGAAGTATGACTTATTTGGACAAACAAATGGTTTTGGTTGATTTTATGACACTGAAAATAGTTGTCTCCCTCAGGAGTTTTTGTGCCAGTGCTTTAACCTTCTCCGACCTTGGAGGCATTTTATTATTTTGGTTTAATAAGATGGCATTGTCCATCCATTCATTGTCAATTCCTGCTAATATCTACAGGCAACTAAAGATAGACAGTTGCCCATAGCCAGCAGTTACTGGGCGAGAGATGGTGAACACCCTGGGCAGGTCGTTAGTCATTCGCAGAGACAAACAAAACAAACAACAATGCATGCACACCCTCACACCTAACGACAGATTAGAGGAAGCTTTTAACCTAACAAACCTAACCTGTTTTTGGACTCTGGGAGGAAGCAGGAGTACCCTGACAGAATCCATGCCAGAACAGGGAAAGTATTCAAACTCTAGACTAAGATTTGAACCCAGGACATTTTTACTGCAAGGTAACGCCGCCATGTTTAATAATATCTCATGTTTCATGAGATAATACTTGTTTCTAATATAAAACATTAAGGACAATGTATAATACATGGTTAACTACAAGAATATGCATAAGGAAACCTTCCTGGATGTCATTTCTAAGCATATTCTCTTTGGTTTCTTCTCAGTACAAAGGCTGTAAATAAATAATGAAAGTACATATCCCAACATTTCCTGCTAACTGCCATTTTGTGGCATTCTCACAACCACCTCTTGATTTCTGGGATTTTTTTTAGCTCATTGCTAAAAACAAGTAGTCTGCTTAACAATTTAAGTTATTTTTTCCCCCTATTTAATATATACATACAACACTTTATGTTGTGGGAAAAGATATTTTTATTTCACAGAATAAAGACTGATATTGATGAACACCATTATTCTTTAAATCCCACAGCTTTGAATGTAAAAAATAACTGTGCAACAAGATATTTTTTTATATTTTGAAAATAACAATATAAAAAACAATATAAAAGATACTGCATTCAACTTGATTTATAAGTAAACAAAAACGCCGTATATAAAAAAAACATGTTATTTGGCTGAATAATGAAAGGTTAGGAAGTCATTTACAAAGCAGCATCGATGAGGCTATTTTCTCTAAAAACCCCAAAATATAAGCTAATAGAAACCGACACAGTTGATTCAATCAGGCGACACTTTCCTTGACCTCCTGAACAGCTGGCTCAGCCGTCGGCGGGTTGTGATTTTCTCTGAAGACTGCGTCTGTGTGCTTCACAGATAAAACATTCATTAGTTTGACAGCAAGCGCTGGAAATACCGAGCAAAAGAAAAAATAAAAAATAAAAACTTGAGATGAAAATATAAATAAGCCAAAGCCGTACTCTAAGCAGAACTTCTGTTTTAATATCTGCATCATTGTGGATGGATTTCCTCACAGCATTTCATGAACAATAGCCCTCGATTTAAAAGTTTCAGTGATTTAATGTCTCACCTCCTACTGTCTGACACAGCAGACGCCACTCTTCTCAAAGACCCAAGTTTTAGCCTCTGGATTATATTTTTCTTGCTCGGTTCTTCTTTTATGGATTCCTGTAAAGGTACCAAAAGCTTGAGTTACAGCACAGCAGAAAAATGAAATACTTTGCAAGCAGAGTCTAGCTGCATTTGTCTTCAGTAGCTGCTTATGCAAATATCTCACCATCGGCAAGACGTCTTCCTCCTCTATCTCTCGTAGATCACTCGTACTCTGTTGCTTCACTCTGGAGCTTAAGTTAAATTTTCCTGCACCAAACACAAACCCTGATTTAACCAGCAGTTCATTCCCAGACAACATTTACAACAATATTCCCACTGAAGCGAAAGATGCCTTACTTAGATGCATCTTTGAGAAAGTTGTGTCCGAGGCTGATCTCTGTCGGAAATGGCGAGTTTTTTGCTGCTGAGGTTTGCTGGGAGTTTCCTGTGCGTTGTCAAGCCGGGGGTGGTCCTCCTGAGCATCCGCTGCATCATGCTGAAAAACAAGAACAGGCTTTAAGAAAATAAAGTTGTAGCTTGCTATGTTAAGTACAGAACTGAATAAATGCATGTTATGGATTCAAGATTGTCATATGAATTCCTGGGACGCCTCACCTTTTGCTCTTCATGTTTCTGTTGAGTATCTCTCTCTGCCTGCATTGCTTGGTTTTGCATTTGATGTTTGGCATACAGCTCCATCTTTTGACAGACCCATTCCAAGTAGCACAGACCAGGACTGAGTTCCTTTCCCTCAAAAACACCAGAGCTCTGCACAAATAAATCCGCAAGAAAAATAAGCGTATAAATATAACTATAGATCTTGTGAAAGCTGACTGTATACAAATACAGTCAGTATACATATAGATGGGTGAAAAATACCTTTAGAAAATGATGCACTTAGATGACTTATGTAGTAAATCATTTATATATTTGCTGACCAGTTATAAGATAAACTTGCTGTGGAGGATAATTCAAAATCTGATGGATCTATTTCAGATTTTTTTATTACTAAAACGGTTTGGCTATTACACTTAGCTCTAATTTGTATACATAAGTCTAAGAAAGCTTTCAGTAGAAAAGACAAAGAACAAGCGGTGAGCAAAACTGACAAAACAACATACCACAGAACGAGAATTTGGAGGAACATAATTCAAATCTATTGTAAAATCAAAATCAAATCAAATTTTATTTGTATAGCACATTTCAGCAGCAAGGCATTTCAAAGTGCTTTACACATTGTAGCTTCTGTCTTTCTATAAAAGGTGGATGTGGTCAAGTTTTGCTCTGTATTTTTCTTTCCAATTGAAAGCACTGCCGGCTTAGACATTCAGAGTTAAACTGTGCTACTCAGACTTAGCCATTTAGAGGCCAATTGTAATATTTACTATTTAAACTCTTCTGATTTTTTTCTCTATAATGGTTCCTTGACTAAGTGGTTTTGTGCTGTTTTGTTTTTGTTTGCTTACTGTCTTTGCAAACCACTGATTCAGCCTCATTCAAGAGAAGGGATTGGACTAAGTTGTTGATCAACTACCTGTGGCAATGCCTGGGTTTTGTTAGATAGCTAACCTCTTACCAAACGGCATTAAATGATTAAGTGAATCTGACAGCACTGTAATATAAATCATTCTGAAGGGAACAGCATCTAATTGGAGCCTGAATCTACTGACATAAAATTAATCTGCAGGATTTCAAGTGGCTTTATATTTATAAATCACTTTGGTTTTACTGAACAGTCTTACTGCTTTTATAGTTACGAGTCTCATTCACAGAACCATACACAGAAGCATACATACACACACCAATACAAAGACAGATAAGTATCATGGAGTTAAGTACCTTGACTAAAAACACATCAACAGATATCGAGGAGGAATCAGGAATAAAATCTATAATTTCCCTTCTTCAAAACAAGTCACTGTTGCAGATGATTATATAATAGGATATGAATTGGACCAGTTTGTCTAGAAAGTGAGTTGGCACTATCTCCTAAATGAAATTAAAATGAATTAGACAACATCTAATAAACCATAATGAACTTGTCAGTTTGTTTGTATTTACTTCTGTTTTATCTGTCAGGACAGGTTTTATTTGCTTGTATAATGTGCAAAGGACCATTTTACATAACCAGTGAATGCAGACATTCATATTGGTTTCCAGACTCTGTTTTTCATAGGCTGTCAGCGACAAGTTTTCGCAGTTAGGTCGGTTATCGGTTCACACTACCTGACTGTGTTCCTCAAAAAAACCTCAAACATGTCTGTTTTACTCTGACTGTGTCATACACACATAGAACATCCACAACGTTTCTGAGTTTACTGACATAACTTCACCTGAAGAGCACAAAAGACAGAACTACCCTTTGTAATCTTCCTGCTTTTCATGCTGAGCAATTATTTTAGCCAGGCAGCAACAATAGAAGAGAAACCTCTGCAAGCACACACCCAACGACTGAAATATTAACATATAAATAATTTAAAAGTAGTTTCAGCACAACTTCCTGATGTTGCCTGATGTCAACTCTTAATCAAATTCCAAATCACAGTTGATTTTCTCTGGCTGCTGGTTCAGACAAGCCCAATAAACTCTTCAGCTTCCTTCGCCTTGTTTTCATTGCGCGCACATCTGCTCCCACCTAGTTAGACAGGTTTTGCATCCATTCCACCGTCACAGACTGTGAAGGTTGTGAACATGAAAGAGGTCCTGCATTGGTAATAACATGCTTGCCTTACGTTTAGGAGCGACTTTGTGAAAAGGTGTTGCAATCGTTTCAACTGAAGACTTTCCCGTAACATTCTCAAGATTGAGCAATGCAAGACCGTACACGAGGCTGATTCACAGATGAGTGTGTAATCCCGAAACTACACCACAAACAAATGTAAGAGGTTGTGTTTAACTGTGACACAATCTGCCCTGCATTTAAACTAAACTCTGAGGGATTACAACAGTTTGAATCATGAGTTTGAAAGAATCGTACCTGTGAGATCTGCTCGACAGAGCCAAATAAAATTGGTTTTCTCTCCGTTTCTG